CCTATATTTGATGCTTTTGAATGTACAGACAAAGACCACTTGATAAACTTTAGGTGGAATTTTTCATAGTGGTCTTGTGCAATGTACTTCAAGGTATGCTGGGGGTTGGCTTTGTCATCTATTTTTGAAAGGTATCTCATGGTTTTTGAGTGGGGGCATAAGACTTGACAGCCATAAAGCAGGATTGGTTTTATTAAGGAGTCAAATAGAATATTAAGGGCACGGTGTGAGAGGGCATCCTTAACTATTTTGCCTTTGAGGCCATAGAGAGCACGGAGAGCCTTGGCCCTCAGCTCAGTATTTGCTGCTGTAAACGATCCATTTCTGTGGAATATTATGCCAAGATAGCAGTATTTATCGGTGTGCTGGATGGGCTGACCTCCCAGTGTGAATGTTTCATAGGACTGCTTTCGTTTGGGAGGGCTGAATATTACAATCTTAGTTTTCTTAATATTTACTTCAAGGCCCATGGAGTTACAGAAATCAAATAGAATGTTGATATTGACTTGCAAGGCCTCGGGACTTAGAGCAAGAAGGACAAGATCGTCAGCCCACAGCAGATGTGATATCAGAACGTCAGCAAGAACTGGATAGTCACCAACAGATTTCAGGAGAGATGAAAAGTCATTAATGTAGATTTTAAAGAGGTCTGGCGATAGGGGGTGTCCTTGCTCCGTTCCTTTGCCAATATCAATTTTAGGCGACAAGAGTTTGGAAATTTTTATATGGGCAATAGAGTTTTTGTACATATCACTTAGGCAGTTGAAGAAGTTACCGGTTATTCCAAGGCATGTAATTTTGTGCAGAAGGAGGTCCCTACATACAGTGTCAAAGGCCTTTCTTAGATCAACAAAGCATGCATAAAGACGAGCCTTTTTAGCTTTTGTGTATTTGTCAATTACTGTCTTGAGGGTGAAAACGTGATCGTTAGTTTGGGCACCTTTCGAAAATCCAAGCTGTTCTTTTGGGTCAGGACAGTAGAGCTTTTTGAAGTGTAACAGACGTTCAAGTAAGATGCTAGAGAACAGCTTACCCATACAACTGCCAACTGCTATTGCTCTGTAATTGTCTGGGCTGAAGGGGTTGCCTGATTTATAGATAGGAGTGATAATACTGGTGAGCTAGCAAACGAATATATTCTTGAGTAAATGATCTTTTCAAAGATTTTACCAAATATAGAGAGAGTAGAGATTGGGCGGTAGTTGTCTATCTCTTCAGGGTTTCCCTTCTTAAATACAGGAGTTATTCTACCAGTCTTTAGAACGTCGGGGAACGTGCCATTAGACATTAAGATGTTGATGTATCGACTAAGGATCGGTGTAATTACGTGAGATGATCTTTTGATTACACTAACAGGAATATCACTTGCTTTTCCATTTTCAAATCCTTTTATTATTTCCGTTATCTCATAAGGTGTACAGTCTTCTAACATAATCGATTTTTCATTAATCTTTCCAAGGAAATCATAGAATGTTTTTATAGGGAGAATTGGTAAACCAGAGGCCTCACTGCTACTAAGTGTTTCATTGAGCTTAGGGGCAATAGAAACAAAGTAAGAGTCGAATCCATTGGCTATGACTCTACGATTCATGATTCGTTCGTTGTTTATGATAAAGGGAGGCTTAGTTTGCTTCTTTTTCTTGCCCCTGAGCTCATTGATTATCTGCCACGTTTTTTTGCTGTTTTCTATATTTTTATGGATTTCATTGCAGTAGTACGATCGTTTGGCGACCTTGATAATACTTTTAAGCATTCTTCGGTAGTCACTGAAGACTTTATAGAGCAGTACATTACCCTCAGGGTTTCTATTTGTTACAGTGCTTGACCAGTCTCTACAGAGTTCATGTTTTCTTTCAACTGAGACAATGATTCCATCGGTAATCCACGGGTTGAGTTTGGGAGTCCTTTTGGTAACTTTTGGTACATCAAGCTTACAGTGTTTATCAAGTGTTTCATTGAAGCAGTCCAAGAACTCATTGAAGTTTACCGAGGGAGTCAAGTCATTCACCTTCACCTCGAGTTCATTAACAAAATTAGTGAGTTTGGAACTTGAATAATCATAGTAGCGAACATGTTTAAGTTTTTCAGTACTGTTTTCGGTAGGAATTGACGTGAAGGTGAATATAAAGGCATGGTCACCAATCCTATCATTCAATACACCGGAGAGAAGTACATGATCTATCTCTGATGTGAGGATATTGTCAATACATGAGTTTTTACAGTTAGGACGGAAGTGGGTAGCAAGTGATATAGTAGGATACATATTGTTACGAAGTAACGTGTCCTCAAATAGCTGGCTGGAGGTTTGTACATTGAGGAGGTTAGAGTTAAAATCGCCAAGAATATGGAACTTTTTACCAGCCAACTGCTTAGATATATCCTCAAGAGTTTGACAAAAGGTCTCACTACAGCCATTTGGAGGACGATAAGCAACCCCATATGTCAGTTTATCACCCGAGCTAAGAGTAATTTCAACAAATAAGCACTCAATATCTTTTGTACAGTGAGATAGATTTTCGATTACTACAGCATTCAGGCGATCAGAGACATATAAGGATACTCCTGTTCCTTTTTTCTTATCAGGGAATGGTACTTGACAAAATGTTGTATAGGAGGGGATTTGGTATAAGCCTTGTTGGCTTGGATCGATGTTGGTCTCAGCCAATCCAATGACATCAAAATTACACGGGAGGGTCTTATGTTCTATTAAAAAGCTGTCAAAATTACTAGCAAACCCATCTATATTGCAAAACAGAGCGGGCAGATAAGCAGAATTTTTATTTTTCTCAGGAAAAAGTTTGCTGATTGAGTTTGCTAGTTCTTGTTTTGTGTAACGCTTACAGTCTTCAAGTATTGAAGAGAATTTAGCTATGGTGACATCTTCCTGGTTGTTTGTATCATAGAATTTATCTGAATCATCATATCTTTGGCTGCTTGGAAATGGGCAATACCTATCTTCTATTGTACTACAGCAATCACTGCACATCCATAGACCGTTTTTGCTTGTAAATTTCGCGGATCTGAAGCACTTAGTATGAACAACTTTGCTGCAATTTTCACATTCTAAGAGTGGCTGGCCAATATTAATGTATTTACTACAGGGGTCGCACACATCTTCAATAAGTTTCATAATCATGATAAACTAAGTGGGATAAACTCCCACTGGTCGGGTGGCCTTCCTTTGTCTTACTCTCTCCTCTCTCTCCCTCACATACACCCACTGTTTCAGACATCTCACAAATTTAGCAATACCAAGCTCTCCGAGATGGATTTCATCACCATTTCTCGTGAGTTTCATAGCAAGCAACCCTTTACCGTCTAAAAAGTGGCCAACACCAAGGTGCCATACAGTCTGGTTAAAGCTAGAGTACAACATTTCATCAACCAAGCTGTTGAATGCCATAATGTTTTTATTCATCTTAGGGAGTCTAGACGGTAAAACTGCTGTGACAAACAACTTCGCCTTAGTGAAGCCCAGATCTTTGCCTCTAAGTGCTGTTGTCATCACATAGTCAATGACAATCACGAAGAGGTAGGGCGCCAGTGTATCTCCCTGCATAACTCCAGCAAGTATAAGGAAAGCTTCAGTCAGACCATCCTCCGTGATGACTCGTGCCATGGTGTCCTTGTACATAGCATTTATCAGCCTAACAATGGGATCTGGTATCCCATATGCCAGGAGTATCTTCATCAATATACCCCTATGAATGCTATCAAAGGCCTTCTTAAAATCGATGAACAAGAGAAGGGCGGTCAGGTTTTTGTCTCTAGCCCCCTCCAAGATCCTCCTTAGACACAGAATGTGGCTGGTGGTACTGCGTCCCTCCCGAAATCCGTTTTGGTTGATCCTCAGGATTTTCTCCATCGCTGGTTTGATTCTGTAAAGGATCATACGATTCAGGGTCTTACTAACAATGGATGTAAGAGCAATTCCTCTGTAGTTATCCACTTTAGTTAGATTTCCTTTCTTTGGCACAGGCACGATGTTGAGTTGCTGCCATTGATCAGGAATTTTTCCATCAACCAGAGCGCTGTTACAGAACTCTAGAATCAGGTCGTCCATGTCAACTCTTTTGAGAATCTCTGGAGCTATGCCATCATCACCATAGGCCATATTTCTTTCGAGGAGCAATCTTTTAGCATTAAGTTGTATAACTTGTTAGTTTTGATTTGTTTATTTTAAATAAACCACACTGACTAACCTTTGAATCTCGGAGGTCATCTTTCTTTTGCCTCTTGACACTACTTTAGAGTTAGATGGGTTCCTTCCAGTATATTTTTAAATTATGTTGCCATGGGGTGGCAAGTACCCATTTACTGCAGTGAGTACAGTCCGCTAGTGTCACTGCCTGTTTATAATATGAAGCGGCTCCTGTTTACCTCAGCTTTGGCACTAGATCCAAATTATTTTCCCCTCTGGTATTGTGGCTGCCTGGCTGGTAGTTTTGTTACAAGTGAATAATTATACTGGTGTTTTAAAAAGAAGGTAACAGTAAAATCTGCGAAAAATTTGGTCGGGGACTAAACATTTGACGGTGATGGGGCATCATATTGTAAAGTTATGCTGCAAAAATAAGATAATTTTTGTGAAATTAATTTAAAACCATCACTAACCTATTTTTAATGCATTGAATAAAGTAAAGTAAAGTAAAAATTATGACATAACATCATCATACATGTCTACAAAGTATCAAATCACTATATGGAAAAATATAAATATCTTACCACCAAAATTAATAAATGATTAACTACAACTTTATCAAAAAATTTCAAATAAATTCAAAAAGCATCCCCAAAAGATAACCCTATTCATACTTCCCAGTGGAATAAAGATTTATAAATCGCTTTTTTGCCACAAAAGGGTGGAAATAAAGATAATCGTTATGCTTCTGAATGTCTAGTATTTACATTTTCTCACAATCTTAGTTTGATAAATTTAAACTATGATCATAGATTAATTTGATCACTATTATTTTACATCTTGCAAAATTATTAGATGATGTGATGGCAAATGAGTTTATTTTCAATTCCATCCACTCTCTGTCTGAGATTTAGAAACAGATGCCATTTACCTTCAAGAGTAGCAAATTTTTGCAGAAGTGCAAGTACCACAAAATCATCATTATACAAAAAAGACAATTCTCTCGACAGGATGAAATTGTTAATTGACACTGACCCTGGGACTGATGACTGTCATGCGCTGACACATTTGTTAAAGCTTGGAAATGTGATAGCCATCACCAGTGTATTTGGCAATGTCAAACAACCCCAAACTGCCCAAAACGCCTGCAGAATCTTGGATATGCTTGGTATGAATCATATACCTGTGTACAACGGAGCACACTGCAGTCTTCAAAAGGTTTTTCACTTAGAAAACGTCTATTGTCACGGTGTTCACGGCTCTGATGGAATGAATGATGTTCCAGATGTGGTTCCAGTGACTGTTGAAAAACAACCTGAATTAGACAAGACGTCTCCTGACGCTATAATAGATATTGTTAAAGCAAACCCTGGAGAAATAACACTTGTTGCTCTTGGCCCTTTAACAAATGTAGCCATTGCCACAAGACTCTGTCCAGAATTACCAAAACTTGTTAAATCTCTTTACATAATGGGTTCAAGCTCTAAAGTAGGAAATGTTACACCATGGGCAGAGTTCAATTTCCATTGTGATCCACTTGCGGCCCATGTCACTCTTCAACATTTCTGTTCATTGAGTATGGTCCATGTCGTACCCTGGGAACCTTGCTTGGAAAATTGTATCACTTTCAAACAATGGGATTCTTTGTTTGAAGGAAGTGATGGCTCTCCAGCTAAAACCTTGATACAGGCTACTGGAATGACAAAATGGCTCAGAAGCAGAAAGAAGGAGGATAAAGAGGGTTATGTTTTTGCAGATCAGTTCATCTCAATGATTCTTGTTTATCCTGAATCCGTTATTGAGTCAGATTATTATGATACTATGACTGTCAATTATGATGAAAAAGACGAGAAATTTGGGCTTGCTGAGTATAAAAGAGAAGATTGCTCTGAAAAGAAAGAATGTGGCCTACTTGTGTATACTAAATTTGATATGAATTACATGATGAAGATTTATACAAATTCCATGAAACATTAACTATTAAGTCACCAATCTTCATATTAATGTAAGTGGATGTAAAAGGATGCTTTTCGTTTTATTAAGTTGCTTTTATCTTAATGGATGATTACAGTTTACTGTTGACCAATACTTTTTATCATATTATCTTTAATTTAATAAATAAATTCTAACATTTATGACACGCTTGGACATCAAAATATAACAAACGAAAATGTACATTTAGCTCATTCAATATGATGTTTATTGATTATAATGATTTTCAAAAAAAATCCCTTCCTTTATTCCAAACTTTTGATGATCACAAATTTTGGTAACAGAATGAAATAAAATCATCATTATGCAAAATTATATTTCGTGTCACTCTCCTATTTTCCTGGATAATATCTCATCATCACATCCTCACACACAACTCAAATTCCTCTTGCAGATATGATCACATGAAATCGATGAAATTGAAAAAGCCGAAGGACGGTAGTTGTATTAGCAAATTTGCTGATCTCACAAAGAGTCCAAAGGAAAGGTTGCATGCGTTTCTCCAAGCTAAAGGTAAAGTCCACTTAAATTTGTTTTCCATCTTAAATGTTCTAATTTTACAATGTTCCTATTAAAACTGCTTGATGTAACATGTTATTTTATTTGATTATTTAGTGGTTCATTTATTTGCACTGCATAGCTTTCAGGAGGTGACCGGGACATGATTTTAGGCCTGACTGGGACCGGGACCGGGATACAAAATGTGACTTGACCGGGACCGGGACCGGGACTGAGATTATCAATTTACCGTGACCGGGACCGGGACCGGGACCAATAATTTCTGGGATTTCTATCTTACCGGGACCGGGACCGGGACCAACAATCCAATTTTATCGGGATGACCGGGATTTTACCGGGATGACCGGGATTTGACCGGGATGACCGGGACCAAAACTGGTATTCTCATATTGAAAGCTGCAACTTTCATTTACATTATAATTGAACAATTTGAATAAGTAATAACTAGAATATTAAATTAGAAAAAACTTTTTAAAAAACCGTCAATATGGGGCATGGGCCTAATGTACTACACCAATAATGTTCATGTACTGATTACTCAAGTTCACCCTCATTCCTCATTCCTCAATCAATGATCCCTCAAATTATTCAACAGTTTCATTCTCCAATTAATTGGGCGTAGCCCGGCCCGAGTTGAAAACTTGATGTTAGTTTGCACTTATGAGTTATGTAACGATATTAGTTACCTAAACTTGTTTAGCAATTTTAAACATTGTTTTATTTGGCTCAGAAGTTGTTTAAAGATGAAATTCACAATGAATGAAAGTAAAAACTTAAAATCACAGTGAATGAAATTATGTAAAAGATCCCGGTCAAAATCCCGGCAAATTTGAGTGATTGACCGGGACCGGGACCAAGAATCCTGAATTAACCGGGACCGGGATCATAAATCAGCATTTGACCGGGACTGCGACCGCGACCGGGATGAAAAATGTGATTTGACCCGGTTGACCGGGACCGGGACTGGGATAGCTCAAAATTGCCAATCCCGGTACCGGGATTCCCGGTCACCTCCTGATACCTTTTGTTAATAGATTTCAGTTCCATTAATCTTTTACAGCATCAAAATACTGCCTTGCCTTGGCATGTAAGCAGGGCCGCCATTATACCACAATCTAGTTTATATATATCTAGTTTATATCTACACTTGTTTCAGATGGGCGGAGTAAGGACCAATACGATGGAACTTCATTTCTAAGAGATAACTGTGGCGAGATTATCTTCCTTATCTATGAAGCCTTCTGGCATTATCTGGACCATGTGCAGTTAAAGAGTAAGTTTACTTTCTTTTAAATATCATAATATATAACTAATCATCTTGGATATCCACAAAACATGAGGACAGAAAGTTGTAACCCAGAAAATGTAAGATCTCTATTTGGACTAAATACAAAACTAAAACTGGTTAAATCTAAATACTTCTTCTAGAGCACAAGAAGAGTGGAACAGAGGAGGCTGACCTCTTAGAGATTATCCTCCCAACTTTGGAACGAGTTCTGCAGTTTCTTCCTGATAAAATAAACGATTTGTGGCATTATCACGGAATCGGTAAGGTGTTATTCGGGGGATTTTGGAAACGAAATCCTGGAATTGTTTGAAGTGACTAACTTTTGATTCATTGTCTATGGTTTGGATTGATGACAAACAAACGAAATGTTATGTTTGTTACAAACGTAGCTCAGATCACCAGTTTGTAATGATAGAGATAAAATATACACCATGAAGGTCCTAATACTAATGTTGATTTCAGCGAGAATGTTAAAAGAGATACTAGCATCAGCAAACAGTCTGGCCCCTAACAACGCTACAGTGGTATGTGATATTTGTAGTACTGCTAACCATTCCATGTCTCCAACATGAGAGATTAAGCCAAGCTGCACACTGCATCCCTGCTGATTTTGGAATAAATTTAACGAGATTTCTCTATGTATCTGCTCACTAATGTATAATACATATATTTTATATAATGTGTATATTATCAGAACGTCATACTCATATTTCTGTTTCTTCAGCTAAAGCGTAAAGGTATCAAGCTAACCATACTGTGGATCCTCGGGTTGATGGATAAACACAAACACAACAAACAAGCTGTTGATGTTTTTAATACAATCTTACCGTATGTGAAATGTTAATAAATTTAATAGTGCAACTGTTTGATTTGACTTGAAAATTAAGTTATTTTGTGTCGGCGATGGCACAATTATTATTGTAACACATGATGAAACAATTGCTATTGCCCTTTATTTATGATACACCTTTCGCAAAACTCAATGCCTCAGAGAATTAAAGCACCCTGAACTAGACAGTCCTGACAAGGAAACTATTGTTCCCCGGTTCCAGTTCTTACTCGATAATCTGACATGTAATGTAAGTTATTCTGTTTTAAATGCTACAACTTCAGCATGTATCACATTTCCCGAATCAGCACCTTTTCTAAACATGTTTTAAGCTTCATTCTGCAGTATAAAACAAAGCTTTTAACATTTTTAGAAAAATTTATTATCTGTATTCTCGGCATGGCTATTATGATCGAGTTCTTCAAAATTCAGCAGCTTAAGTGGTTACGATAACTGCCTTGTGGAAATGGCAATTTGAGAATATCTTCGCGCCAACACGCTATTCTATCAGCATTCTGGAGCTCGCTATGGCTCGTTTACTTCAGCAATCATTTTTGCAGATCTTGCAGTTCATATGCTAGCAAATAGACTGTTTTAACGAAACCGAATGAAGGACATATTTGTCCCGCCGTTTAGAATATAACATCGTGCACAAACTAGTTTGGAGAGCTTAGCTACAGCGTGACTACAGGCTGGTACCTCATGGCTTTAATTACTCCAGCGATTTTGGGTGCTCTTTTCACGTGCTGTGACAAAGTGGGGCAAAGTCTTAGAATTTTCGCACTGTTACGGAAGGCGCCACGACTAAATTTATCAAATTATCGCGCGCACGCGATTTCATTTAACGTAACGTACGCGACGCGCGCCCTGAATTTGCCCGGAGGCGGAAAATGTTATGTATTATCCAATTCGCAGATTTTAATCCTGCAGCGATAATCGCGCGTTTATCGTATTCGAGACGATAATCGTCGTTTGCGTGCGATAGTCGCTGACGATAATCGTCCTTTCGTAACGTCGTTGTCGTCCAGCTTCTTGTGGTCTTTGATGGATACACATCGTTTACTGATAGACATGTTGCATTATTTTAAACACTCATTATTCATCATGAAAATATAATTATTTATATATTTTTCAGATCAGAGAAATCCACTGGCCTGATGTTTCCGAACATGAGCTAAGAGAACGACGTATAGAGGGATTCAAAACGGTCTTCAATCTCTGCAAGAAAAGCTACCTTGAGGTTTGCCGATTTAAGGGTTTATCTCACTGTTCATTATCTGGAAATTTTGAACCTATTAAGAAATATATCTCCGTCATAACTCGAAATTTTACATATTAACTATACAGGAGATACTTAGAGGATACGAAAAACGAAAGGAAGGAAGCTCTAGTAAGTTCACATTAGTAATATATATATATCAGCAATGAAATATATATATATATATATTATATATGACTGATATATCAAATGTCTATGATGATTATGTAACAGAGGATTCGGAATTTGAAAAGTAGTCTGACCTTTCTTTCCAGAATAATCCATTAAAATCCGCTCCCAATCAGAACACCGAACAACATCCGAACACCGGTACTCAACCATCTCAACAAGCAGTCACTCGAGACGCCACGAGATCATTCCCGAACATCTGGGCCATGCCTCACTACCTCCCGCTCCACCACCTCGTGAGCACCGCCTGGAAAGGGTGCACTCCAGCACCTCATCTCACAGATCTGATGCAGATACACCCACCTCACCCTTACCTCTGTCCTTACCTACTGATGACGCCTTTACTGTTGGTTGTCTTAGTTGTGAGTGACTTCAATAAATCAACAGATCATATAATTAATAACGTGATGCACCACGTTTTCAGCCCTTTTCAAGTGTCTTCAACATCAACATCCGTCTCAAACTACAGCATTCGAGCTTTTCATTTAGAATTAAACCAGGTCAGTTCATATTATGGAGCCAGGGAATTTCTCTGATCATGTCTTCTTTCCCCGGTTTCTGCTAACCATAACCTCCTCCAGATCTAGAAGACGAGGAGGTAGAACAGAGGTGCAGCAAGTGCAGAAGTGCTGGACACAGCACTCGGAGCTGTCCGCGGTGCGAGCGCTGCAAGAACAGCACCCACCGGAGTGCTGACTGTCCGACTATTATTGAGAAGGAGGTGGAGAACCACTTTAACAAGCCCATGAATGACATGACGAATGAGCAGCTGGACTGTATATTCCAGCTTAATGATAGGATTATGAAGTGGTATGTCCCGTTGTCGTTATCTTATAATTTCCTTTTTTAACTATATCACCAAGGACTGTGAAGTGAATAGCCTCGAGACTGTCAAAGATGGATCACATGTACTGTATGCATGTGAGTGATCTGTACTCAAAACAGCGGTCGAAATTTGTACGAAATTTGTAAAAAGTCACTTATCACATAGTACACTGAAACCACCGTCGGAACCAAAATCTATGAATCAAATCTCCAAGATCATCGTATTACAATTTGTTCACCTTACTCACCAACCCCTACCATAAATTCGGTATAAATTCACAAAATCGATTTAATTTTCAGCCAACACGAATCACCCGTAAAATTGTTCTCCACAGGTTTGTTAAACACGGTAAATCTATATTACCACACGATAAGACGAACTGTATGTTTGTGACAAAAGTGGATGACGTCTACAAAGAAGATGAGGTGAGAATGTCGGAAATAAGTTCAGATAAACAGCACGTGTGAAATTGTACCTTTAAATAGTAAATATGTCGTCGAGATGATGATTATGTATCTTATTTCCCTAAAGAGAATAGTGATGCAGGGTTTCATAAAGTTGGTATTTTCAGAAGTTCGAAGAAGATGTAGAAGTATGCCGGATAGTGGACAGAGTGTTGTTCACAGACCGGGATAATGTTAAGCTGATGAACGATGCTTTCGAACATGGACCTCTCGTTCTGCAACGGAGAACGGTTTGTTTACTTTATCATTTTAGCATTGAATTAATTTAACGTTTATTATGTATCTGTGATTACCAAGCGTATCTATATTCACTATTTAGTACGCATAATGGTCCTTCTAAAATCATGTGTTTCCTACGACCATCATGCTTGTAACTCATCGCAGGAGAGTAACTTTGCAGAGCTAATGTCGCCGGAGGAGCACCAGGAATTTAGCTTCATTAAGATGATCACGTTGTACAGCGAGCTGATCTACAATATCAAGGTAAATGAGACCTTGGCACTTGAAACCTCTTCAAACCTCCACTGATTTATTTACCACTGATATTGTTTGGTTGTGCCGTAAAAATTAATAATTGTTTTATTAAAATAATTGTTTTATTATATATCGATGCTCTTTAAGAGATCATTTCAAAATCATGAATAGCTTTATTGTACACTCATTTGTTAAATAGGACAGAGGATTTAATTATGATTTAATTATGATTTAATTATGATTTAATTATGATTTAATTATGATTTAATTATGATTTAATTATGATTTAATTATGATTTAATTATGATTCAATTATGATTTAATTATGATTTAATTATGATTTAATTATGATTTAATCTTTTAATTATGACCACCAATTACTATCAAACTAATAGCTGTCCAATAACTGTATGTTATCTGTCAGGATTACAATGTACTAGGCAATAAGACAGAGAATCAGCACTGCCCAGAGTTCCTGGCGGACAGTAGGTTGAGTAGTAAGGTTAGTGTTTTCTTAGAGACATTCTGATTTCTGAGCTTTTTAAGTTTTTATCTTTTTTTGCCTCATGGTTTTATCCTGATAAATATATAGAATGGCGTTTAGCTGATGTTAACTGTTAGCTCTGTCAACAATTGTTCAATGCACGGTGTAATTAAATATGCTGTGCAATATGTAAAATATGTTAATTATTTGATCACCAATGCCTCAGAAACGAAGACAAAAGAATTCCCAAGTAGAGAGAAAGATAAAAAGCTTCCTCAAATCAGCAACTCTGAATGTAGCTCCCTTACTCAGATACCCTTACTCTTACTCAACCTTCTCTGGGGTGAGTAACTGCTCTGAGATAGTCTTATTTGTTACTCTTACTCAACCTTCTCTGGGGTTAGTAACTGCTCTGAGATAGTCTTATTTGTTACTCTTACTCAACCTTCTCTGGGGTTAGTAACTGCTCTGAGATATTCTTATTTCTTACTCTCACTCAACCTTCTCTGGGGTGAGTAACTGCTCTGAGATAGTCTTATTTCTTACTCTCACTCAACCTTCTCTGGGGTGAGTAACTGCTCTGAGATATTCTTATTTCTTACTCTCACTCAACCTTCTCTGGGGTGAGTAACTGCTCTGAGATAGTCTTATTTCTTACTCTCACTCAACCTTCTCTGGGGTTAGTAACTGCTCTGAGATAGTCTTATTTGTTACTCTTACTCAACCTTCTCTGGGGTTAGTAACTGCTCTGAGATAGTCTTATTTGTTACTCTTACTCAACCTTCTCTGGGGTTAGTAACTGCTCTGAGATATTCTTATTTCTTACTCTCACTCAACCTTCTCTGGGGTGAGTAACTGCTCTGAGATAGTCTTATTTCTTACTCTCACTCAACCTTCTCTGGGGTTAGTAACTGCTCTGAGATATTCTTATTTCTTACTCTCACTCAACCTTCTCTGGGGTGAGTAACTGCTCTGAGATAGTCTTATTTCTTACTCTCACTCAACCTTCTCTGGGGTTAGTAACTGCTCTGAGATATTCTTATTTCTTACTCTTACTCAACCTTCTCTGGGGTGAGTAACTGCTCTGAGATATTCTTATTTCTTACTCTCACTCAACCTTCTCTGGGGTGAGTAACTGCTCTGAGATATTCTTATTTCTTACTCTCACTCAACCTTCTCTGGGGTGAGTAACTGCTCTGAGATAGTCTTATTTCTTACTCTTACTCAACCTTCTCTGGGGTTAGTAACTGCTCTGAGATATTCTTATTTCTTACTCTCACTCAACCTTCTCTGGGCTGAGTAACTGCTCTGAGATAGTCTTATTTCTTACTCTTACTCAACTTTCTAAACTAGGGCACTGTTCCAATCTTCTATACCAACCATAACATTACCCCCTCAGCCTACCAAGAAGATGATTGAGCAAGCTGCTCAGACCACAATGGGCTACTACAACGTCATAGTGCAGCAGATTGAACAAGCTGACGCTAACACCTGCTTTAGAATCATTCTCTGTATGATCAAGAGTATCGGTTAGGCTCTTCAGATTATTTGAAATTGAACTTGCTGTACTGTTATATTTGCTACTTTTCTCTTTGACTTTAAGCTCGGTCCACTTATATTGCGAAAAATTCGTGTATCACATAAAAATCGTGATTAGTATCACACCTTGCTGCTTGACCCTATTTTTTGTTAAGACCCTATCCCACTATCAGAGCACAACTTCGACCTGAACTTCCCGATACACAGCTACGAGAAGCAGCTGAGGATCCTTCTGAACGTGGTGAGGTTTGTGGGCAGGAAGGTCAGTCTCCCACACAATACCTGGACCCATCTCCGGGATCTCCTCATCAAGCTGGAGGTTAGATTTGTGGACTGAGAGTGGGTCACGATCCCTAGTTTGTTGTTTTGAGGGCTAATGTTGTTCGAATACACTGAGTTTAAGTGTGTATCATGTGACTCGTACACATGTGGTCAAATCATATATTCGCTTTCGAATGATTACTGATAATAAATTAACTTAAACTCAGAACGTTTACAAACACAAGCCACTCTCTTCAGAAAAGAGACGAAACTGCTCCCTTAGCAAATGATTACTGGCACGAAGTGATGAAAACCCTGACCCAGGAGATATTTGTTCAGGTGTATGGGGTGGAATGGAAAGCTAACAGGTAGCCTGGGTACTACCAGTACCACTATATTTACACGCATTAATACCATTATTATATAATAGTGAACTCGGCACCATACATCAGTCATCATTTTCTGTTTTTTTTAAAGATTTATCTATTTCAGTCTAACTATCAAACAGGCACATTTACGATCAAATAAATTACTTTACAGTACGACTTTTCAGCGAGAAAGATGAGAAAGCTCCGAAAGCGAAGGGTAAACTTCAGTGCCACATCGAGGAGAAATCCCATCTTAACGCTAAATTCAACGCTGCACTATCAAAATGTAAGTAGACACCGTTCAGGGGTTCACGTTTTTCATACATCTACTTCGAAACTGAACATTTGTATACCAGATACCAGCTCAACAGGGATACATATATCTCCCCAAATTCCACCGCTTAAAATATAATATCTTCAGTGCAACGTCCGTTTCGGAGTGAAAAACCAACAATCCAAAAGAGCAAGACACTGGGCGGGGAGAGAAGCCATGCTCGTGACTCAACAGAGTATCATTACCACGGCCTAAACAAGATATTCCTGGAGTCTGTTTCCTTGAGAAACAGGAACAATCAACGTGAGTCTATTATTAGATTACGGCAACCTTCGTAACGCAATATAGTTACTCTAACCCTTAAATAAAATGTTGGATTGACGAACAATCTTAAACCTGCCCCAAAATCAAACCTCTAAATCAAGAACGATATAAACAAAATAATACGCGATATTTTTACATTTTAAGAATTGAATAATAGCGAACAACTCAGCGCGGGAAATAAATATACATAGTAATGTATTTGCATAGTTGATAAATAAACCTGGTACGTATTCTAAATTTTTGCCGAATTCCGTGAATGTTATTCTCAATATTTAGTAGATAATAACATAGAAGATAAAATACGTTATCATCTAGCTCCAATCACTAACGTTTATTATTTCAACAACTTTTACTTATCAAGCTTATGCTTGACTTAGTAAAATGTCCACAATAATCTTCGTCGATCCTACATACTTTTTCGAGTATGGCCGGAGGAGCAACTTTTCGTGCAGTCCACAGAATATACATTTTAATGCAAACAACGTCTCACAGTTTTCTACATGCATTTGACAATAAAGTATCAGTCACTATCATTGCATTATGGGACATTCAAAAGAACAACAACTGTTTCTTGGACAACTATTTGTTCGTCAGCTGTTTCTTGGACAAATATTTGTTTATCTGCTGTTTCTTGGACCACTAAGTGTTCATCTGCCGTTTCTTGGACAACTATTTGTTCATCTGCTGTTTCTTGGACAGCTGTTTGTTTGTCTGCTGTTTCTTGGACCACTCCTTTATCATCTGCTGTTTCTTGGACCACTAACTGTTCATCTGCTGTTTCTTGGACAACTGTTTGTTTGTCTGCTGTTTCTTGGACCACTCCTTTTTCATCTGTTGTTTCTTGGACAACTATTTGTTCATCTGCTGTTTCTTGGACCACTCCTTGTTCATCTGCTATTTCTTGGACAACTATTTGTTCATCTGCTGTTTCTTGGACCACTAACTGTTCATCTGCTGTTTCTTGGACAACTGTTTGTTTGTCTGCTGTTTCTTGGAACACTCCTTTTTCATCTGCTATTTCTTGGACAACTATTTGTTCATCTGCTGTTTCTTGGACCACTAACTGTTCATCTGCTGTTTCTTGGACAATTGTTTGTTTGTCTGCTGTTTCTTGGACCACTCCTTTTTCATCTGCTATTTCTTGGACAACTATTTGTTCATCTGCTGTTTCTTTCTCACATTGTCGCAAAAAATGGGAAAAATCGCGATCCCGCACATACCGCGATTTCCTTTTGTCCCTGCCTTGTTTGTCTGATGCTTCTTGGACCACTAGTTTTTCTTCAGCTGTTTCTGAAACCAAATCTTGTTCGTTTTGTATTCCTCGAACCACCCCGTGTCCACTCGGTAGATCTTGAACCAAGTCTTCTCTTTGAGTTCTAACTTCCTCAAGTTCAATTGTTTCAACTTGATCCGACATGAAACGATCACGGATGCTTTGAACAATTGTTGAGTCCAACATTCGAGCTGTAAAACGCCTCATTGAATTGATGAAAAAGCTTGTTACGATATCATCATAAAGGAAGGGGTTTATCACAGAGTTTATAGGGAGAATTAACATCGAGAAAAGACTGTACCAAGGGGTGGCATCCAGGACTTCTAAGGAGTGGAGAATACAGATTATGATGAAAGGCACCCAACAAGCGAAATCTGTGCCAATGATGATAGCAATTTTCTGGTTCATTCTACGGTTTCGGTTGGATATTTGTCTATTGCCCTGCAAGTTTGTTAGACTTTTAGAGGATCTGAGGGAAACCAGTCCAATGAGGATGTAAGATAGTGTTATTATCATGAAGCATAAAAAGTTGAGAATAAGAATACCCCAAACGAAGATTTTTTGAGGATCGTTGCTTTTAACGAAGTACTTGAAGAGGCACACACCATCACTACCGTAAAAGTCAACTTTTGTCTGTTTCAAAGTATGATCATGATAATCTAAATCGTGAGAGTACATTCCAGAAACCATTTGTCTTATTGTGTCCCAACTTAAAGTGGCTGCTTTCATCCGTCCATAATAGGCTTCAAGAACATCAAGGATCAATTTTTTGTCAGGTGTTCCTATGAAGAAACTTAATTGTTCGTCGAACTTCAATCCATTGACAAAAAAGTCCTCGAATTGGTCGATAACCGGTATGATAGCAATTGCTGCAGATGCCAGAGCTAAGCTGAAGATCCCAGTCGTTACTTGAACTGCTTTCAACCTGGTCACCTCCCCTGGAACTCTCATTGAGTTCCATATACCATAGATTCTGACAGTGCTGAGAACTGTCATGGAGAATAGTGAGATCTGCGATCCAATCGTACTGAAAATACCGATAACAGAACATTCGATACTTGTGATCCAAGTTATTTGGCGGAGGCAGTAATCCTTCTTGAAAATGATGCTATCGTAAATGGCTATTACAATTAGGTAGCACCCAATCAAGAAGTCTCCAAAAGATATCAATATAACGAGCGATTTATTCATCAATGCTACTGAAGTCTGGCACCGAGTTAATGTCAGAAGATTCTTTGTCACGATGACTGAATTTGCGAAAATAGCCAGAGACCCTATTAGCCACGACAGTCCTTTAAGAGAGCCATTTTGTAAAATGTGCTTTGAACAGAGGTCATTACATTCATCAGAACCATCCATGCAATTTAAGGAACCATCACAAACCTTAACTTTGGGAATTAAACGAGATGTAGATAGACATGTGAAGTGGTTATCACAACGCTTTTCGTCTGAGCCATCTCCACAGTCTTTAACCAAATCACAGACTTGAGAGTAGTCAACACAACTGATTTTGTCGTCACACACAAAATATCGGTTTGTGAACACTTCTCCATGTGTCTTAGTGAAGAATGCAAGGTATTCTTCGTTTGCTATGGTTCCCACTCGGTCTGGATATTGGGCTGGACAGACCTCATATCTTGGAATTTCCCTGAGAGGACAAGGAGAGCTTGAGCATTTATCTACACAGCTAGTATAAACGTATTGCTCCCCGAATATGTTTGAACAATCTTGCTTGATTGAGGGGAGATGCAGAGTAGTTGTGGTGTCAACCCCAAAAAATTCGTGATCTGGAAAAATAAACTGTTGTGATGTACATTTTCCTCTTTGCATTTCTATCTGCATTAAACCTTTCAGACAATAAGAAATCCGTTTGGTCAGGCCCTTGTCTGATGTTGGTAACGGACGGGTTGTTTCCATCGAGTTTCGGGAATATGAACATATTTCATTCTCGTTTCCGCAAGTTTCAATTCCATCACATAGATTCTTAACCTCGACATATCCAGGGTTTCCCCATCGACAAACAAAAACATTTTCACATGCTTCTTCGCTAGAAACAAGTCGATATGATTTTCCAACTCCACAGGTAGGCCAAATGGCAGCTTCGTCGCTTCCATCAACACAATCTTGGATACCATCGCCTAACCATGCCAAGGGTATCATGAGGTTTCCTAGATCTCCGACTCTTCTCTTACAGGTTCCTTGGGTGACAGATTGACAGTGGGGGTGTCTTTCATCAGCTTTGTTTTCACAATGAAATTGGCCATCACACATAAAGTGCTTGTGTAAAAAGCATGGTTCTGTTAACTGTTTACACATCTGTTCGATCCCATCGTCACACACTTTCAGATCGAATTTATTACAATTAATCATGATCTTTGAGACTGTAGAAATATATCCGTTTATTTCACAAATAATGCCTATCTTGGAGTGGTCGGTGCAGTTTGATTGAACTACATCCGCGCATAAATTATGCAGATAAGTGTGTGTAAAGACCTGTAATACATAACATCTTGTGAAATTGAAAACTGGCACCAGTGGCCCAGTGTCAGCATGTTGACATGTGTCCAATGTTTTATTTGTCACCTGACAGTTATATTCATCCTCACCATTGTCACATTCTTGGTATCCATTACAAATCCACCCAGGGCTAATATATTTATAGACTGTGTTCCCTTCATTGTCAGTAACATTGCAGTACATTCCATAGGTATACCCATTACATAGGGCTTCGTCTTCACAATACATATGGTCACATACGTCATTACAGATGTAAGGACTAAAGATTACTTCACCACTCGGCATTATTGTTGTTGTATTAGGACAGTTTGTTTCATCAATACCAGAGTCACAATCCACATAACCATCACAAATCCAGCCATATCCTTCTAATAAATTTGAGAAATAAACATAATCCCCCGGAAATATTTTACACACGAAATACTCACAGAGGAACTTATCGTTAGTTATTCGTCCTCCAATTGCTTTATCACAAGCTTGGTAAAAGAACGGGTCATTTGAGCAGACTTCTCTGAGGGGAAATTCAGAATAATATGTTTCCTCAGAATCATGGCATTTGTTGTAGGTAGAAGTCCCATTCTTGCATACGTACTTCAGGAAGCCACGCTGGTCTTGAATCTGGCATGTCGTCTCTGAAGCGTGATTGGTCATTTTTTACAAAACGGGAAGCATTTGTTTCAACTCAAAGCTAGTATCAAGATCAAATTTGAATTGACGCGGAATAATTTTCGATCGAAGTGCTGAGAATATCATACCGTTCACTATAATATGTTATGCACTTAGGACCATTGATTTAATTGTAAACTATTCGAAGATGTTGACTTTAGAACTAAACTTACCCGACGTTGACTGCGAAAGAGTCGTCACAAAAAGAGCGATCAGAGTAACAGTAGTTTTCGGCATCATCAATGTACAGCAAATAGAACAGTAACTTCAATATCAAGGAGAGCGTGTAATGGGGTAGACAAGCTCTCGAGGCTTGTGGAAAAATCATGCTAATTTTGTGTTTCCCTTCAAGAGGGCAGTATTGTTTGAGTTCGGATTATGTGATTAACCAGCAGCCGAGAGTCGTAGCGTGTGGCTTGATAACAAAGCCTGTACACTCCAAGACACTGTGCACAGTGTATTGGGTGAGAAATTTGAGATCATAGAGTGATCTGAAAATTAACCTTTTGTTGAACTCAGAGCTGGTTGGTGTTATAAACGATGAATATTCAAGAAGTATCCGGCCAGGTTAGGAGATAATAGCATTTTAGAAGCGTCAGTTTGTTATGATAATATGGTGGTGATTATGTGGCCTCTCTCCTCAACAGTGGAGGTAGATTTGGATGAGTTGTACATACAATCATACAGAATGTTAAGCAGCCCTAACCTTGATAGGGTGTGTGTAACAAGCAACTAAACGAATGTGGAAAAAACAAAGTTTTACTTTTTTCCACTTATAAATATTTTACCGGGGTAAGGACAGGGCTCCAATGCTCTATCTTGTAGTGGTCATCCTGACCACAGCCCCCTTTATCAATACTTCTGGCTCCGAACTTGATTCTGTACTTTCCTGTTCCTGCACTTTCGTATCCAGAGATGAGGCAAGATGAAGATGACAGCCATCACTAATTCTACCAGGGATGGCATTCCATAAGAACAATTCAAATTTACACAAATACCAGTGGTCACAGTCCGAGGTTTCCTCAAAGAAACTGCAACTTTCAAAATCTTCCGTTGCACATGACACAGTTCCAAGGGTTATATCGTGAGTACTGGCGTTTTCATGAAAACAACCCGCTCCTCTTATGTACCATTTCATGTACATCCCAGCTGTAGCCCATGTGTTTCCAGATAGCTTCAGCTGCTTTTTCGTTAAAGCTATGTTTGGCACAGACCGTTCCGCCCTTGTAAAGGAGTAACCCGTACTGGTTTCCTCTTATTTCACCCCCTTTCTCGTTCACCAGGGTAAATACTGCCTCTTCTGCTTCTGAAGAACAGAATAGTTTGAGAGAGCTGCAATAGTGGTGGTATTATTTCGGTTTACTGTGTGTTGAACTGTTGAAGTTGTGAAGGGGGTTGTGAATGTAAGGTTGCCGTGGAATAACTTTATTTCAGAGAACTGGTGAAACTTACCACTTTTTTCAATCCCTAGCGAACCAGAAGTGGTCTCTTCACAGTATGGTATTTCACAAAAAGCCCCTACGGGCAACACTAAGGTGTAACACCAAGGTCCTCCTGTTCGACTGTCTGGTTTTCTACAAAAGTTGTGATCTTCCAATCTTTCGTTTGGGTAACTGAATGATGATAAGATTGTGTAACTGAATGATAACAAGTTTCGTAACTGAATGAAAATAAGCAGTTAAATAATGGGGAAATTAGGATTGGCTTCCATACTTCCACCATTTAGTCTCGATACGGCCACAATGCAGTCTCGGACTCTCACCAAGGTACAATTTAAAAGATCTATATTCTTCTTTCTAGACCCTTTCTAGACCCTTCCTTTTTCTAGATCCCTCCTTTATCTAGATCCCTTCCTTTTTCTAGACCCCTCCTTTTTCTAGACCCCTCCTTTTTTTCTAGACCCCTCTTTTTTCTAGATCCCTCATTTTGCTAAACCCCTCCTTTTTTCTAGACCGTCCCTGGCCCTATTTCTTGACCCTTTGGCCCTAATTATATCTTTATATGTGAACATATTTTGATGCTCATAACTCAATCTGTCTTCCGGTAACACATGCTTCCTACAGCAGATTGGGACGATCAGAACGACGATGACGACGAGCTACGGCCGAATAATGGGGAGCACCCCATAATCCTCTGGAGACGATTCCTAACCCTAAAGGGGAACCCGAATAAGTACGCTAAGAGTGCTGTGCTTCACAAGAGGATGTTTGAGAGTTTGAGTGATATTCTGGATATGTTGCTCTGGCTCGATGATAACAAGGAAAAACAGGACAGGTATTTGGACAGCTTCGATTAATTCTCAACTTTTGTTTTTATTGGTTTCAGATTCCAGTGTGGCATTTATTTTCCGATGGTGATTTCTGAAAACCTTTCCTTTGTTGTTAGAATAATAAATTTATATTCGATAAATTCTTGAGATTCAGGATATTTTCATCATATCAGAAATCAGTTTCTTTCTTAAGTTGATTCAACTTCTCTCATCACTGTACCAAAAAGTACCAAAGTATCAACATTACCAAAAGCCTCCCCTCCAGAAAGCACGCAGGCAGTAACTACCGAGATAGCGTACCCGACCACCCTGTCTTCACCTACATCTACCACATTCTACCCTGGTTCTTTGAAGCTTTCCTCCTCAACCCCTCAGAGGAGTTCCTCCCCGGCAAGAAAGCAGCCATGAGAATGCTCTGCAAGTGTCTTGTAAGGTAGTTTTATGTTTTAGGGCCTGAGTCGGCGCTAATGACAGTTTGTAGTTCGTGGAATTGTTGTATTTCGTTAGTGGCAAGTTGACTGTTGATCACGATCTTATTGTTGATACCAGATGATGTTTACGTTGTTCGCCGCAGGTTGAACCCTATAAAACCACCGGTACCTCTTCTACATTTGTTCTACAATGTTCTATTAAACTGTCTCAAGAAAGAGGGTGTTCGGCCTGTAGAGAAGATTAGCTACATGGGTAAGATCAGTGGTAAATACAAAGTTCCTTAAATGTTTTTTTGTCCACTCCCCATCTTTTTTCGCCGTACTAATGTATTACTATTAGCTAATGTATTACTATTAGCTCGTGTATTATTACATTAGTACATTACTACATTACTACATTAGTACATTACTATAAATTACTACATTACTACATTAGTGGCTGGTGTATTATACAAATGTATTAGCTCGTCACACATTTGACCTGAATGTTTCCCAGGTAACAACAAGTGTTATCAGAAAACCAGACAAGACCTGCTGTTCGAGGTAGTAAGAGGAACTAAACACATATTCTCCATCAACCTGAACGGATGCCAGCTCCACGAGCTCATGAAGTGTTTGTCAGAGGGAGCTATCAGTGTGCTAGATGCGGTAAGGTTATAACGTCTCTACCCCCACCACCCCCCCCCCCCTCCCCCCTGGCCCCGGGTGCTTCAGCTAACCTTCATCAAAACAACCACCTATAAAATCTAAGTGATGCAAAAATGGTGCACAAATGGTGCACAATATTTCACTGTTATAGAGTGTAGAGCAATCTAAAAAATTTGCAGCCTAGAGACAATGAGAGTTGCTCTCTCGTCATATTAGAGATTGAGCTGCGTTACTGTATTTTTGAGGGTCACAAATAAAGGCATTTCTTTCTTTTATAATAAAAGATAAGTTGTTGCTAACTCTGATGGAGGGGTTCACGTATAATGGTCACGTTAATGCTCGATAGCAGGAATCTCAAGCTGGTACGTTCCTGATTCTTTTTCACTAACATAAACTACGTGGCCCATACAGCAACCACATTAAATGTAAACTTACTGACTGGTAACTATTACTATCCTCAGACCCTAGCCAGTGGTCCCAAAGCAGATGCTATCATTCTGCTCGGTTCCCTGTACACTTATCCGTGGGCTGACGAGTTGTTGAAGCAGCAGATTGTAGTCACTATTAAGGACGTGGCTAAATCTGAGTCTGATCAATTCAACAGGTCTGTAGATCCGTTATTTTCATTGATAAGTAATGTCAGACCATATATACATGATAATATATCCTTTCCGTCAATAAATAAAAAAGTATCAAGATTATCATCTCGCTCGGTAACCAATGCAATGTCTTTTGTGTCGGTTCACGAGGAAAAGTTATAGGACGGATATCAAATACGCTATATAATATTATCAAATAAGTACTAGGTAGCTATTCTCAGCTCGAACACACACTCGCAGGAGTCGAGCTATACAGATGGTTGGCTACATGATAATGACCATGCTTTCAAAGAGATCAGATAACAGACTAGATGCTGGTCCTGAATCTCCCACCCTCATCATGAACAGGTTCGTAACCCAGTGGTGGGACTGATCACTGGTCACTGGTCACTGGTCACTGGTCACTGGTCACTGGTCACTGGTCACTGGTCACTGGTCACTGATCACTGGTCACTGGTCACTGGTCACTGGTCACTAGTCACTGGTCACTGGTCACTGATCACTGGTCACTGGTCACTGGTCACTGGTCACTGGTCACTGGTCACTGGTCAACCGTGCTTTGTTGAGTTTACATCCAAACTTTCGAAGATCTTAGATCATGGTTTTGAAACAGAACCGTACCTTATCCCTTAGGTCACCAAAATTAAAACAGTCGTCCTGTTTAAGTAGTACCAGTATAACATATTATAATAGTAGTACAGTTCTATAAAATGTTTACTCAGTACAACTTCCAGTTTCTTGTCTGTTTTTATTCCCTTTATGTACTGATCATCTCACCGTCAGGATAGAGACCTCGTCACCCAGCGAGATATCGTCTACTAGATCTAACAACAAGTACGCTGATGTCAAGAATCTGATAGACCTTATCAATATCGTCATGTTACAGGTACCCAATAAGAGTAACTTGTAGATACCATTTTCAGTTTATTGCAGGCCTTTTTTGTGAAATAGTCGTTTTTTGTTGATATTTCAGGAAGTTTGGGATTTCTCAAGTCTCAACTTATTTCAATTCTTCGGCACATGTTTGTTGTTTAAGTACAGTGGGTATGGTAAATGAAGAAGTTTTATAAATATTCAGTATAAGACAGACAGCATTATCGCCGCACAGGTACGGTCTACAAACAGTAAAGTAGCATTGTCAGCACTCTCGGTGGTAAGGGACGTGGCTGGTGACTTTGATAAGCTGCTACTGGTCGACTCTACCCTTCCTAAACAGGCGAGTAAACAATTATTACTTCTATGAAATCTTATTAAAAGTGTAAAAAAGTATTCGAACATATTTTCCGTCAAGAATTGAACCTTAGTTAAATTCACTTGTAAGACGTAAGTGAGCAATGAATGTATGTATTTCTTTAACAAGATTCCCGTAAATTCCAGATTATAGAGGTCCTGCTCTCGTCCTTAAACCAACACATGGACGCCCAGAGACGCCCAGTAGAAGAGTACGAGTGCGGGAGCCCCACTAAATCTAGCCCTACCCCTCTCTACGACCCTCTGTCCAACTCTCAGAGCTCCAACCTAGCTGCTCCTAAAGCTCCACCTGCTAAAGATAATGTTTTGAAGTCGTACCAGGTAAGATTACTGTTTGGTGTTCAAATTACTTCTACGATATCCTCTTCTTCAACTCGGATTTGTTACTGCAAAAGTATAACCACTTGCACAATGCACAATCGTTAATTTTAGGTAGTCAGAATTCATTGCTGAATCACTTGCAAGCTACCACTTTAAAACACAACCTCACCACAGGAAGCAGTCATAACCGGTACCATAATGGCTCTGGTAGACTGGGTGTTGAGTATGCCGGAGGATATTCACAACACTCAGGTTAACTCCGGACCTAGGAACGTTCTGTACGCCGAGTACACCTCCCTGCTCAAAACTGTTTTCAAGGTTTGTTCACATCTGACATCAACCTTCAGAGCTCCTGTAAACGATATACTGTCTTGTAATCATCTCCATTGATCCTAGAGGTCGCTTTTATATTACTTGTAAATGTGTACATTTTCCTTTCCCGAAAATGTATTTCATACTGTACATTAAATCCAAAAATTAATCAGCTGGGTAACCAACTTGAGATATTGCACCCAAATAAGAACCTGTTCAACTCTTCTTATTTAGTTAATATCCAGACAAGAACATTCTTTATGAGTCGCATTGTTGTGATATTGTCGCATTATACGGAAATATCAGACATCTCTAAACATCTGCATCTAACAGAACAAGTTGTCCCCCGCAGGTCCTGCAGCTGGTTGCACTGGAGAAGCCGTTTAACGAGCAGGTTAAAACGTACTGCCAAGCCCATGTAGACAGACTGAGGGAGTATAAGATATCAGATATAAAGGAGGGAGACGTTAACCCTGAAACTATTGGTACGTGGTGCAGCTGGCAAACAGCCAATAATCATGGTCACACCAAAGCTATAATGATATTTTAGATATGGTTGTTAATTATTATTTTCCAATTCGCACGCGGCGTCTACGGGGAGAATTATATGGAAATGGGGCACATGGTACAGCGAACCAATGCAATGGTTCTGTGACAGATAACCCAGTGAGTGTGCCATTTTGGTCGTTATACTTTGTAATGAATGCTATCTAGTTTATAACTCTACCCCTCAGATATGTCGTACCCTGTACTGCCGGGCTCCCAGGAACCCCACATTCACAAGAACATAAAGTGCTGCGCTTCAGCAGCCCTCCTAGTGTTCTGTCAGAGGTAATGTTTTTATTTGTACCTGGGGGAGTGGGGGATACGTCTTTATATTATCCACTTTCTAGTAGCATTTTTTATAGCACTCTTTGCAAAAACCATCTTTCATATCAAAGTGCCAGTAACCAGAATTAGAAGGTACACCTATTACTAGGAGCCACTCTAATCTATTATTATAAATTGAATGAAACATCTTTTTAAGTGGGCACTAAAAGTCAGGGAGTTATTCATTAAAACACTCCACTGACAGGTACCACCAGTTCCCCCTTTGTGGCGGACCAGATTACTCCTCTAGCATGGTCTACGAGTACAACCGAGAGGAGTGAGTTGCAATATTAAGCCCTTCAATATTTGTTGTTATTCTCATCTGAGTAATCAGTAAATTTATATTTTTATGTATTAGTCAAGGACCAGGGTTCCTTGAGCATCATAATTTATTTTGAAAACTGATTTTTAATCTCAGTTCGACATAACACATTTCAGTAAGAATGGAGACACGTTGCACTTTAGTCGTAAGCACGACCTTCAAATCCTGATGATGGATAAAAACAGTGTTATTTCATTGGTTGAATTTGGCAAACTGCCACTTAAAGTGGAACTGTCTTTTGACCTTCCATTTGAGTCCCAGCCTGGCTACAGCAGGGTTATCTTCAGAAACGTTGCAGGTACGAAAACCAGGGTGAAATTTCACTCTCAAATTAACCTGTTTGAAGCTATGTCTTTCATCGTTGAGATTCAGATAGCGTTTTATGATTGGTAAAGTGAGATCTTCTGTTTTAAAACTTTTCTAACATCATTAATCATTGAATATCTTGTACTGTTCAGGACGTTTTTCGTGGCTAAGTAAGAAACTTTTCGCGATGAAGGAGCCCCCTAACTCACCCCTCCCTCCCTCCGACCTCATAGACTATACATCCCATCTTGTCGAGGTAAGTCTGCTATTAATTAGCTCCGGTGTGTCACTTTTATATCAAATTATGGACCATTTACAACTGCAGTTACAATTGTGCTAGAGTATTTTTAGTATTATATACGATCAATATCAGGTCTATTATACCCCTACATGCTTCCAAAATTTTTAATCTCCAACTTTCTGCACAATGTACTGGAATGTTTTGAAAAAAAAAAGAGTCGGAAAATCAAAGTATGTAGTCGGAAAATCAAAGTATGTAGCGTCGATACCAAACCGATTATTGAGCGATGATAGCTAAGTAGTTGGTTCCTGGGATGCAGAATCCTCCTGATTCCTCAGTCTTTTAGTGTAGTTTTTTTCTTGTTCAGTTCTGTCCATATTTCCTCGTGTTATGTTCAAAGTTTTGGAGTGTCATGTTATCCTCAAATTATAGCAACATACTACATTACTGCCTAGAATTAGTTTCAGTGAGCTGCACGATTTAGACCACTGACCTAACCCAGAGAATGGTTAGATTTATTTTGCGCCATTAATTTGGATGGAGCTGTATCCTTGGAGAATCCTGGCACACTTTCGTGTACTAAAAGAAGATTTTGTCACTTTCAACCGAGATTCACTGAACTTGCTACTGCTGCCTATTTGTATGTTGAGGGAATACCCTTTGACCTTTTGAATTTTTGGCATCTGCCCAGAGAGACCATTTAATCGAATTTCATACGCCAAGGTGTAGGATGAGCCAAGAGTTCAACGATTGTAGTGGTCCTGCATATGTAGCATACTACTCAAGCTCATAGAGGCCAATAACACGGACAAACCGTTTAACCTTCGGCTTGAGATATTCTCGACGCCCCAAATTATCCTAATTTCAATTAAAACTTCTCCCAAGACTCCTTTGATCGCCTTTCTTCTGTATTTCGAGGGACAGGGCTACCAGGATAATGAGTTACACTGCTTGTCAGATCGCTCAATCTGAAGCATAGAGAATGCATGAATAGCAATCCCAGACCCAATGAATTATTCAGGTAAACTAGCTAGTTATATAGGGGTCGTTCACATATTACGTTATCAATAATGTCACTGTTAGCTTCTTAATTCATAAACTTCTAAATTGATCTAAATAATTGATTTGTATTCTTCACTCCCTTATACCTTACATTATCTTTCCTCTTAGCACTTACGCAGCAGAAAAGTAATTTCAGCATGGTAGTCCGACTGGTAACAAAATAAAGTTCCCCAAAGTTTCTGCTAAGTAAGGGCTCACAAGTAATTTGTCAACATACGAATGATAAAGCTAGCTTCTGGAGTGTTGTAGCCAATAGCAAGTAGTTCTTGAAACCAGTGTTCTTGAGACCAGAGCAAAGAAAGAATCTTTCTGAAAGATACCGTTACTACAATAATCACAAGAAACGCCTAGTTTAGCAGTTCAGCTATGTGCAGTGGTGTTGCCTTTGTATGAAAACTCTAGACCTAACCACATTAAAGTTTGTTCTGCCTTTTTAAAGTTTAGTTGGCTCAGTGGCTTAGTTGGTTAATCCGCTTGTCTACTGGCCTGGAGGTTGCGAGTTCGAATCCCAGTTGGGCCAAAATCTCAAAAACTGAAGGGCAGCCGTCACTCACCAAACCATGGTGTAAATGGTAGTGGCTTTCATTAGAGCTGTGAAAATAACACGAGTGCATATGCCTGGGCCAGCGTCCCGACTATGCTGCTGGGAAATCTGTACCGAAAGGACCGTGGACGAGCGCTACACGAAAAGGAGATCGGCCCCTCGTTCCAAGCTTGCTAGGTTCGCCATGTTGATGTTGTTTTGTTGGTTATAAGTCGGTACTATGATGCAGATGGTAACAAACATAACAATGAAATAAACAAACATAACAATATTGTATGGCGTTATTGTGATTGTAACAATTTTAACACTATTTAAATCTTTAATTATTGTTATTTAAATTTGCTATATTCAAGTATATTCAAGAAGATTTCCATTTTAATTAACTAATTGTATCAATATCGCAAATTTATATAATATTTTACCCTGAATGTTTTTTTGAGCTCACAAGCTTGTGGCGACCACAAAATAAAATTCCAAAATTGTAGCAAAAAAAAGACGTTCTCTAAACATTCCCATAGCTTCCAGCTTCCTATTCGAAGCTGAGTATTTTTAAGAATGTGCGGTTTTCGTTCAAAGTGTGATTCTTGTTCAAAAAGCTGAACTCATATAATTTATTATCGGCTTGTTAGTAGAAAGTAATGTGTGTGACTCATTACGAAACGAAACACAGTTTTTAACTGTGCTTGCTCCTTTTGGACATTTTTAGTTTACTTTTGAGTTGACGGTAATTTGCGATTAAAATTCAGATTTAATAACTGTACTTGATAAGTTTTCAAGTTTTGGTATGTAATATCAGATACCCGTCGTGCGACGATCCTATTACTGTATTTGGGGTGTGCTACCTTATTACCTGCTCAAATTTGACCGTGTCAGAGATAAATTGTGCCACAAGTCAGCAAGTTGCTTCAGTAAGAGAATCAAGCACGTATATATAACGTGTATAATCAATGAGAATTTGAACAAAAGAAAAAATGTCTAGTATTTACATTAGTTTGCTTCTAAAATTTTCCATACCAAGGTTTTATAAAACAAACTACACTAAATACCCTGGAAACATTCTAAATGATTAAACATGTAAAACAGTACACACAAATCCCCCATTTTAAGTAATCTACACTTCAGGTTGAAGACTACCCTACCCTAACCCCCTCCCGTACCCTCTGTAGGACGGACTCTGGTGCTCCTTCACTCCCTTCCTGTCCTGACAGCGACAGAGACTGTTTATTTCAGGTACTGTTGGGTTGCGTCCTGACACATCCATCGAAAATTTTGGGAATTTTTACTGGAAGCGTTGTATTGCTTATCTGTATCTTAGAAAATTTTTCCATGAAGTTTGATTGCCTGGAAGATAGTGTATGATCAGCATCTTGTTAACTATATCCTGACGGCCACTTCCCCCAGACAATAGATTATATAAAGGCCACCTCGCCGGAGCTGCCCTTTTACCGTGAGCTGAAGAAAGCTAACAGACAGGAGGATTTGTTTAACAAAGTTGGTAGCATGCTCCGGAATCAGAAGATTAACGAGGAAAATGCTGAAAATTCCATCAATTCTGGTGAGGTTATTAAATATCTTCGGGGTGTTCGCGAAGCAAATAAAAACTTTTGTTTTAAAATATAAACTTGTCTCACATCAAGCTTTTTCTCCGTAAAATATCACCTTAAATTTACCCTCTTGCCTTGATTGATTGTCCATCATCCGGTTGCTTTAAGCCAACCCTTTGGCTATTGATTATCCTATAAGGAAATTACCCTGTCAACTCTCTGCAGATACACCAGATAACCTAACTATCAGTAGTGAGGTCTCCGCTAGCCGTTCTAACCTCTTTGAAGCAGCCTCTCCCTTCCAGCAATGTCGTGGTCTCGCAAGGTTTGCCGTCTTTTATGTGTTTTCAACGCTTCATTTAAATCTGTGTCTATTAAGTTTTAAGGTTTTTCTTGGAGGAAAAAATGTAATTTCATAGAGCTCTTATTTGACATGTCCCGCTCATGAACCCCTCTCAGTGCACTTAGACTAACACGTGTCTTACTCCGCAAAACCATCGATAACCTACTACGCTAGTCTACCTAATCTTACTCTAAAATCCAACGGTTAATTTCACTAATCTTAACTACAATATCCTAAAGAAATGATTACTACTCTAATCCCCTGCTGTAACCAGCTTACCACATTACACATCAGTGCACTTGGACTGCTCTCCTGGAACAAAAGATACGAGCATCACGGTAGACAGGTGGAACTGCTCGACCAGTCCAAGATTATCGAGAAGGAGAAGGACGTGTGTGGGGCTCTCAATGAACTGGACAACGTCTTCAAGTTAGTGGGGATTCCTTTTATTTGGGGGCCATGAAAAGATTGTTATATTTTTTGTTTTTCGCTGAATAACCCGTGTCCCATCGCTGAATAATCTGTATCCCATCGCTCTTTATTGATTGTCTTCTGCTAATTATTGGAAGTGTTAATATATATTTATGGTTCCACTGCAATGCTACCAAAACTACCACGTCACTCTTCAGCCGAGAAATACACAAGTTCGGTCTTATCTACATCGCTCGAGGAGACGAGAAACGGAAGGACGCCCTCAGTCACAACGTGGGCTCAAAGGAATTCGAGGAATTTGTAGCAGGTCTTGGATGGGAGGTCAACTGGAGAGATCTTCACGGCTACGTGCCTACCATCGGAACAGGTCCCTTCTTATTCTTATGAAACATTGTGGAGACACATCTGAAGCTATACATTTTCTCTGCCATTTTCAATTAAAAATAGAATGATCCAGTTTCTTAGATGTAGGGAGTGTAAACATTACCAGTTTTAACAATTTTGGTTTGGTGTAAGTTTGAACAGCCTTGCCGAGCTTTAAATTCAGTGATGCTTTTTAAGTTTTAGCCTGACAATGCTATATCACTGCTCGCTTCCATACTACACAAGTTATCACTACATAAATTGGGTTTGTTACTCTTGGCTGTTTTCCAAATCATAGCTCATAACATACAGCATACCTGACCAACTTAACAACTCAGACGTGATGAAGAGTACAACAGTACATTACGCTAACGCAACTTTAGAGATAGTCTTTCACGTTGGGACACGGCTGGAACCGGGTAATCAGGAGGCTGCCCTTTACCGCTTTAAATACATTGGTGAGTTACGGGAGTTACCATTTCTTTAAGTTATTTTAGTTATAATTTGTATAGGTATTTATTTTTATAGGTATATAATACATGCTCTCTGACAGGAAACGATTACATTGGAGTCATCTGGTCAGAGCACGACAGGGATGTAAACATTGACACTTTTAAGTCTGCGTACCTCAACTATGTTATCGTCATTTACCCAATGAGGGATCTGAAGAAGTGCCGTGTTCAAGTTATTGTTAAGTAAGAAGTTATTGTTAAATAAGAAGTTATTGTTAAGTAAGAAGTTATTGTTAAGAAGTTCATATTAATGCTCCTGAAATCTGAATTAAAGCCCTGGCAAGGGTACCAAATTTCCCTTTCTAATCACACATATCGTATGAGGAGCAAATTTAAACATAGCAATACAATTCAGATCTCCTAACTCCTAATCAGTAATCACGTGTTAAAATAACCTTACTTTCAGTTTCCGTGACAAGGAAGAAAAGTGTAAGATAGAACACGGAATTGGGCCGCTGTTTGACGGGGCCCTGGTCGACAGGGACATACTCCCGGACCTGGTACGGAAAACTATTATTAACGCTGAGAGGGCTATTACAGTCGACCAGAACCGGCCCCGGTTTTATAGAGATAGAGGTGAGTTGTTCTTTTAGCTATTTAAATCTTATGAGAATAGTAAAATACATACTAAAATACAGCCAAGCGTAGTTTTGAGATGAAAACAGGTCCGAAGTGGCTGTTTGTGGGAACTGGGACTGTCCATAGATTTTATATAAGGGTCAACTGGAGCAGGGATGAGTTTTATTGCTATAATGCAGTGGTACACGCCGCCAATAAATTAATCCTCACGTCGCCAAAAATCAGCGTGCCAAACAAAACTTATAAAAGATAAGTGTGCAACACCGGGATGTTCGATATGATGCTTGGAACGTTATGGCAGTAATTTAATATATCTCTCCCACTTCAATGACCTCATACAGACATATAGCAACGGAGATAATCACTGTAACAACAAGATTCTGTCTTTATTATTAAGTTATGAGAGTAATCATGGATATAACAGTCAGATGTTAAGTGATTCAATGAGTTCAGTAACTCTCAACAATCTTGCCTTTTCGACATGATTTTATAACTTGCATATTGATATAGCCATGAATTAAGATGTATGAAGATCGAAGCATTCTAAAAGTCAGAATGTGTTTCAGAAAGTCTCATTTTTGTAATTCATAGCTGTTGATCTAATCAGTTGAATTACCCGACGTATCTGTTATTACATACATATTCCGAATATCTCCGAAGCGTGGAGAAGGATCTTTCATAGGATTTCATGAGTTTTCCGACATGTAACGTGAGTCCTTCAGCTCGAAATCTGGACAAGTTGCAGAGTTATAAACGAGACGTGACGTTCGAAGAATTCGCGTGTGAGCTCATGTCGCCTTCCCTCATAGACTTCGACCAGTACAAAGGTTTGTTATACTAATTAAATATTGATAAGCGTGAATACTGAATAGCCTAAGAATGTGTGGGTTTAGTTCCATATTTTCTCACTCTAACCCCCCAGTTCCATAGCGGATATTATGCCAAATTATTAGACGGAGATCGTCAACTAATATTTCTTCGGATATTTCTCCGGTTTGCAGTTCCATAACCTTATCCGGAGACCATCTACGGTAATTTTGTTGATTCTCACAGATGGAGCAAAGTGCAAAGAAACTGCCACAAACTGCTACAATCTCCGAGAAATTCCCGGAGAGCTTCATCTCCGTCTAATACAGTAGACGGAGCCGGAGAATCATCACCGTAGAAATGGACCTTCGTCTAATAATTTGGCATAATATCCGCTATGGAACTGGGGGGTAAGGTGTGGATGTTCTCAATTTCTGTGTTAGATTCTGATGATTTTCACCAGGGCCGTAAATCCCATTTTGAATTAGGGGGTCTTGCACTCTTGCAACTTGCAAGCGGGGCGAGCTCCGGCAGGAAATTGGGGGACATTTGAGACTAATAATAATTTACAGCAATATAAAACGTTCCTCATGTTGATTACTTACTCAGGATCAGTGATTGCAAACACTAAGAATTTGGCGTATCACTCATTCCTCAATAATTTTGGCGACTCTTCCAGTAGAGCACAATTATATATATATATATATATATATATATCGTTGCTGTACTCCTACACATACATAGTATATATACTTCTAATATAATTAGAATTAGAATGACTCCAGTTAAATATTGGAAACAAGGTTAATATATGTATATATTAACCTTGTTTCCAATATTTAACTAGAATCATTCTAATGCTAATTAACGGAAACCTGCAAAGCTTCTCGGGTGCAACAACCAGAGGGCCCGTGCTCAATCCGGCTCCTACACCAGACTTATTAAAAGTCTCCCTTGATTTATTTTTAGGGCCTGATTCGCGATTAGTGTCAGGCATTGTGAGAGCCGCGGAGAAACTTTTACGGTTATGTGCCGGGTATAAATAACAATCTCGAATTAATTATCCGGGATATTTGTACGGAATGATTTTATAAAATTCCTTAATTCCTTTATTTGTGCAAGTTTTGATTGGATTTGGAGCGTTTGCATCAGTTTGCGGACTTAATTACAATTCCTAACACAATCTCTCCTGATTGATATATTTGCAAATTTTGCTGACGAAATCACCTCCAAAGATGAATAAAATCGTTTTGGTAGTGCTGAGTGCTGTCCTCTTTATATCTGTGACGGGTGAAGATGATTGGAGTAATGACGTTGTAGCTGAACCTACTACTGAGGGATTTGGTCTGGAAGATGAAACCGATGCTCTTACTACAACTCAACAAGCAACGACATCCTCCTCCCAGGCAGGGTTTGGAGAGATCGGATCATTTGATCGTCAACCATATCCCACTATCACATCTTATTCAAAAAGTAGAACCGTAAGTGTTGGGGATTTTGTAGACTTCCAATGCATTGCATCAGATGCAGCGGATCACTTACCACATTGGCCAAAACATGACCTGTCTGTGGATATCACCTACGAACTGGACGATCGGGACTTGGCAAGCCCTGACCATGGTTGGTCATCGGATATTTCAAAGAGTACAAAATCCCGACCAAGTCAACCAAATGGTCGAATCGATATCACTGAAATGGCAGAGGTATACATGTACAAACAGGCCATTGAAAAAAGTGACCAGGGTTGGTACAGATGCCGTGCTTGCATCTACAAGGGGGACCCCAAACTTGAGGCTTGTGATATTAGTCATGCCAAGTTTTTCCTTCAAGTTAAGAAACGTCGACTTCCATTAGATGATAGTCCCTTGGTAAAGGGAGCTCATACGATGGTCCCAGTTTCCTCCTCGTCACCTTCCGTGGAGACAGACATGCCACCTCAAGATAGGCCCCGTTCATCATGCCAAGTATTCGGGGATCCTCACATTATCTCGTTCGACGGAACGATCTACGATATGCCCAGTGCAAGCTGTGATTACGTATTGGCTCTGGACCAAGCTGGCGGTAAATGGTTCATCTACGGGAGAATGCGACCATGCGGGAAGATCTCTGTGGGAATGTGTCTGGAATCAGTCTCTATCTACGCCCTGGGAGATGCAGTTGAGCTGCAGAGAGGATGGGTTGTGAACAACAATGGTAAAAAGATAGAGACAATGCAGCTCACTGAGCCAATACAAACTGGAGAATTTGAGGTGAAGTTCACGGGAAACAGTTTGATAGTGAGTGTTCTGTTAGGCGTGGAGAAGAGCTCTACAGGGACGATAAAAGACTGGTTGATAGTATCTTGGGACGGACTGACAGCTGTAACGATAGAAGTACCTCAAACCGCCCAAACTCAGGGACTGTGTGGAGACAACGACCACGATCCTATCAACGACTTCGATGTCTGGGGAACGTTAAACAACAATATGCTTATCTTCTCGGAGAGTCTGAAAGTAGACAGGAACTGGAGGTGCGGAGCTGGAAAACCTGCGCTTACCCTGGACGAGGTGAAGAGAGTCTGTGGGGCTAAGAAATACAGGAAAGCAGAGGAGAAATGTGCAAAGATGTTCACCATCAATAGCTTTAGAGATTGTGCTCACGAGAAGCAGCCTTACATTGACGCCTGTATTTACGACCAATGCAAAGGACTCCACCTTCAGAACGACCTTTACCCCTGGATGATTATCCCCAAAGTAGACAAAGTGCTCGTGCCTGGCTGCAATGCTGCCGAAGCATATGCAATGAAATGTTCCAAGACAACATGGGATGAGGATGGCAACATCATAGCACCTATTGATATGTCAAATTGGGAGACGGAAGCTGTTAGTTGTCCTAGCAAGTCTGTCAAACTTGACAACATTCCCAAACTGGGCTGCCCACAGAGCTTTATGTAGAACCAGATTTGAACGAAAGACTTTTACATCTAGATTCTAGATGGCAATGATAGCTTTTTATTGTAGAATATTATTTCAGGGAATTTCAAGAACTTCAAGTTTAACCATTTAAATTGAGTCGTAACATTTTTGTATTTTAAAGATAGAACCAAGAAATTTCGATTTTCTTAACTGCTCATAAGCATCCATAACATTTGTATCTACAATTTGCAATATCTATACAGTAAATGAATTAATTATATTGTTATTTAGCATACTCGAACTTCTAAAGTTTATGTTAATATATAAACAGAGCGACAGAACTAACTCTGCCTGTGAATTAGTTGTTTATGCTTTTGATAATGATAGGGATAATTTGTTTCAAGACTACATTTTGTAAAAAAGGAACTATGTACAAAGAATTTGAAAATCATTACTTATCAGTCGTATATATTACAATCACAATAATTTAGAAATTGTTGAGACTTATTACCTGACAAAACTTGTCTTACTTTTACTTCTGAGCTCATCCATGAAAATAATAATAATATCAAACACGTACAACAAAACAACAGTCGTTTTCTTGGTACCACCAATGTGGTACCAATTTGGTATACAGATTGGAGCTGCGCGAGTTTCGATGTGAAATACCCACAGTAACCCTGTCCAGAACATTTTACTTTATTGATATCTTCTGATGGCCAATGTTATCACTTTTCGCGTTTAAAACGACCATATCAAAATAATGAGGTAAAATGATGAAAAATGTATTTACACGTTTGGCTTGACCACAATTAAAAGTGACACTGACCCCACGAACCAGTTCAACCACTTGATTCGGTACCCGACTGCTGAAATCGCCGGACGATGTGATATTTTGCAGATTTGAATCAACAATTGACCCGATCGCGCTTAAATGTTAAATCTTTAAATTTGTAAACTCCTGCAGATTACGCCAGATCGATGGTAGTAGACGCGAAGCAGCCTCCTCAGCGAACTGGCTCGAACAGGATCTACAAGAGAACCGCTGCTCGGCAGAGCACGGGTTATTCTAGTCAGGACAATATGTCTGAGAGTGAGCGGGCAGAGAAGAAGAAAAAGTGGGCCAAACGTGACCTTTCGGATTCGGACAATGTGTATACTACCAAGAGGTAGCATCTAGTTTGGAGATTTTGTAGATTACGATTTAAACTTTTAGAGTTAGGATATTTCAGCCCGACTGTTACTGTTACTCAAGTAGTCGATTGCCATTATGATTATACGCATTTAAAAATAAAATGTTTTAGCTATGGTTTAATTTTGGTCCAAATGTAATATTCAATTAATAATGTGCAATTGTACTTGTAGGAAACTACCTTAGTCGGTAATATTATGGGGGGGGGGGGGGGGGGGGGGATTGGGTGTTAAAACATAAAAATATGAACTGTTATAAATATGGTTATTTGGCCTGAAAAGAACCAAATTAGAGCCCCCATAATATTACCGACTAAGGTTTGCATGATAACGTTTTAAAAAGAAATGGCAGATTATTTAATGATTTTGTAATAAGCATTAAAAACTCACCATCATCTCATCATGTTATTGTTAATTTATTGTTTATACTTATTTTATCGCAATTTTCTTGGGTTTTGTTTTATTTTTATCTGTGTTATTTTAAATCATTTAACGTATAATATTTTTCGAGTTAGTTTGTAATTAAGTATCTAAACTAGGAATATTTGATATGTGTCAATTTATTCATGGGATTGATTATGATTTTGTCTGTTTTATACGGATTAGGATTGTACACATAGTCTTTAATTTAAACTCCAAGTCCATTTTTTGAGACTAATCGTTGAGTTTTATTTTTCTAGATTTCAAAGTGATCATCAATATTGCTTTTTCCTTTCAAATGTATATCTCATTATCTGTGTCCTTACGTACCTGGCACGCCAATCCCGATGAGCGGCGAGAGAAGCGAGCAATAGGCTAGCAAGCTAATGACATAACGTATCAGCCCCCACTTCTTTGTTCTTGTCAAATTAACTTTTGAATTACGACCCAAACATTGCATGAACTAAACACTATTAGTATTACCTGTAGTTTAACGGAGGAATACGGCGGCTTTTAGTATAGTTTCCTAAAGTCGTGAATTCGGACCAAACATAAAGTAAAAGCTTCGTGAAAGTCATAAGTTTGAATCAAAGAACCCTGCTCCAGATTAGAACCTGTAAGCACAAAGCAGTAAGACTGGCCTCCAGCTCACGGCCATTTTTGAGATTCAAGCAAATCGAGGATGTTCAAAGGTGAAAGGGTGCACACTGCATGCACTAGGATGTTCAGCTACAAGCTAGCTCGCAACAAAATACCGGCGCGGTGGAAAAAAATTCGTAGGACCTAAAATGACTCAATGACTCATCCAGTCTTAATCTTCAATTGGACTCACTAGCTGAAGTATGAAGTAGCCCTGCAATGCAGAGCATTGAGCAACGATCTCCTCAGGAAATGCCAAATGCGGAGCAAGAATGATATATATAGTTGGCGTCGAAGCGGCGACGTCCTGCAAACGCAGCTGATAAAGTTTGTTTTGATACAACTACAAGCTGTATACTACTATATATTCATACTTTTAATATGGATATAGTCACGTACAGCCTTCGGCCGGCTGCCGCGCGCGCAAAAAGAGGTATGCAACGTGTACAGTGTATCTACAAACTGTATCTGGTCGGTATTAACGGGTGATACTCGTAAAATATCAGTTCCATATAGAACCGTCGACGAGTCCAACTCGATGCGCGTCCTAGTAGGTTGTAAACCTACAAGGTCGGTATCAAGATTCAAGGTTTGCTGTGCATGTGTTCTTGTTCATTGTTACCTGGGGGTGGGAACCCCGGGTTATTATAAACATATACATGACATACAAATTCATTGTATCGCGTCTTAACGGGTGATACTCGTAAAATATTTGTTTCAAATATTAGACCGTCGACGAACGTCCAACCCGGCGCGGCGCGCGTCTTGGTAGGTTATAAACTTACAACATACAATAATATCAAATATTGCTCTATCCAGAGCCCTTGCGCTTGCAGTAGCGCGCGCCCGCCTCACGGCGGTAAAAAGGCTTGTGAAACAAGCGCGCCCGAAGTGGCGCGAAAGCACATGGTTAGGTGAATATCAAATATGAGCTCACACACCGCCTAGTACTTAATATATAACTTGCTAGTTTATTGCTCGCTCCAGGCTCCTCTCACGTATAATGCTTGTAGTATAGCGCTATGCATGCACTACTGGGCCGCGCCGCGCATTAAATAAGTGAATCCTCGCGCATAGCTAGCTAGGTCGGTATTGATTGTATTACGTCGTGAACCCAACGTTCTTACGATACAGGGGAGCCGCGCACTCGTGCGCGGCGGATCATACAACATTTACCTGGGGACCCCATACCAGGCTATTATGTTCGGCGGAATGCAGACAGGCTGAGCGTCGCCCAGTAAGCAACGTATGACAAGGTATTGGTAAGCCTTTGATTCACGATCACAATCCTTCGCAGCTCGGTGAGGCCCAGTGGTGCATTTTGCCGATCTACCGAAGATTGGTTGCGAGAAGAATAATTGGATGCGCGGCGCGGCCCAGTAGTGCATCGCGCTACAATGTACAAGGTGAGCTTAAAATAAAACATTTTCATGGGATAATTCAAAATTTACATTGTCCCAAATAAATTATACTCCTATACTAACTTACCTGAGGACCCCAGGCTATTATGTTCATTAATAAAGATTTGGCGGAATGACAGGCTGAGCGCGGCCCAGTAAATACTAACTTAATGTCACGTCGTGACATTAAGTTAGTGACTCCCATTGCTGTTTCACTAGTACAGTATCGTGTCTATGCAGTATGCACGATACAGGATGATGATTAATCACCCTACACTCGACTGTCACGTGACTTTTTCAACCCGTTCTCTAGCTGGCCCTTTTTGTCTTTCTGAATTTTGTCTTTCTTAAAAGCAAATGCTGAAACCCTAACTCTAACGAGAAATTCGACTAACTTCCTTATATACGGTCATATCACGTGATCAAGACTGTTTTTCGCCAATATCTCGGCAGGGAAGCATTTTAATCTTATGTCATGCACAGGAGGAGCAAAGTGCAAAGAAACTGCCACAAACTGCTACAAACTGCTACTAACTGCTATAAACTGGCACTAACTGCCACAAACTGCTACTAACTGCTGCAATCGCGCCCACGCATTCGCGCAGTTAGTGCCAGTTTGTAGCAGTTAGTAGCAGTTTGTGGCAGTTTCTTTGCACTTTGCTCCTCCTGTGCACTGTGCATGGTGGGTGATTCTGAATCAGTGTTCGAAAATACATCGATTCAAGCTGGTTTCAACTGTCGGGGGCCCTTTTAGAACAATCTCGAAAATCGACTCTATGTAGAAAGATTTAGCACGCTCGCAAGATACAGCCGCGCACTCCTGCGTGGCAGGTCTACAACGTATAACAATATTAATATATAATTATTTAAGGAGCTAACATTAATTAGTAATTTTATGAGATTACAAATTTGCTAAAAACCGGATGTTGATATCAAATATGTTTTTTAAACATTTAAAAATAAACTTTAGTAATCGATAAAGATTCCTGTGCTGATGAAAATAGTTTTGCTCATATTTATATTTCGTAAAGCTATAGTGTATAGCTTAGGAAGGACTGATTGCTGACGAGCGTGCTTAATCACTTTACAGTCGATCTTCGAGATTGTCCTAAAAGGACCCCCGACAGTTAAAATAAACTTCAATGTATGTATTTCTGGACGCTGATTCCGAATCACCCCCATGACGTGACATAGGGTTTCAAAATGCCCCTTGCGGTATATTGGCGAAAAACTGTCTCGATCACGTAATATGACCGTATAAGGAAGTTAGTATAATTTCTCGTTAGAGTTAAAGTTTCAGCTTATGCTTTTGTGAGTGATTGGGTTAGGGTCAGTGGCGTAACGTTGCCTGTTGGCGCCCCCCCCCGCCGAAAAGGCGCCCCCCCCCTGTTGGTGCCCCCTCCCCTTTTGGTGCCCCTCCCTAAAATTGAACAAATTAGGTGATTTTAGAGGATACGCCGGTAAAATCTCTAAAAAAGTGTGTATCTAGAGCAAAACGCGCAGTTTTGCTAGTACTTTAGTTAAGTTTTCGAAATTGTCCCACATTCAAACGACGATTTGGCGCCCCCCCTAAGACGGCGCCCCCCTGCACAGCGGGGTCAGCGGGGCCCTTCGTTACGCCACTGGTTAGGGTTACGGTTAGGATAAAATCAGATGGTTAGGGTTTCGAATAGTTATTCAGGGCCACCTAGAGAACGGGTTAAAAAAGTCATGTGACAGTCGAGTGTAGAGTGATTATTCATCATCCGACTGCTGACGCAGCGCGCGGCGCTTTACTTTGTAGCACTTGCCTCAGGCCAGTATTTCGCGCTATTATTAAAATAATTTAGATGAGTGCCATCCATTAACGTACAAAATACATAAATTTAAATAACTTCTGGGCTAAATACTTTTACATTTTAATTAGTGTACTACATTTTAATTAGTGTACTATATTCATTCTGTATATTAATGATTTGCCTGACCTTGTAAAAAATAAGATAAAGTTATTGGCTGATGATCTTAAATTAATTGGTAATGCAGCTAACCACGGTAGTGTTGCTGAAGATATCGAAGAATTAGAAATTTGGGAAAGTATTTGGCTTTTACAAGCCGAATACGTTTTGGAGCTGGAGAGCGTCCAGAGGCGGTTTACCCGTTTGATTGATGAGGTGGGTACTCTTCCTTACAGCCGTAGACTGGAAATCCTTAATTTGACAACGCTGGCAGAGCGGCGAATACGTGGGGACCTTATTGAAGCTTTTAAAATCAACTTTGGTACAGGTCGTGGAAAGATGGGACAAGCCACCCCTGGAGTTCGCCTCTGGGCAGCTACGGTTGAGGAGATCGATCCCTTGTCTTGTGTAGGTTACAGAAACGTTGTCATCATGGAAGGAACCAACAATTTAAAAGTAGATGGAACGGATGAGAGAGAGTTGTATACCAAGTATAAGAACAAAATCGCTCAGATTAGGAAATACAACCCACGTTGTAAACTGATAATCTGTCCTGTGCTGCCAACAAGGTCGCATAAGATCAATCGAAAAGTTAATGTTTTTAACCAGTATTTGTACAACGATCTCAGTCAATCTAATCTTAAAGTTCTAATTGTTGATAGCTTTTTGACATTTCTAGATAAAAGCACCAACCTGCTTAAGAACAGTCTAGCTAAGTCTGATGTGAATGATATTCTTCATATTAATGGCAAGGGCGTTGGTGCACTAGTCAAGTTAATTAAGAACTGTATTTTTACATCCAAGGATCATAACAAGTTAGTAGGTAGTAGATTGTACAGCAACACACTAAGAGGAGGACCGCCAGATGCAGTCTGATATAAATGTTTAAGATTAACTCAACTAAGGAGAAATGCGGATGCTGTAGCAAAAACATTAATATTGGCCAAAGATTTCTTGAGTGCCAAAGTTGCCAAAATATTATCCACAAAATTTGTTTCAAAACATCTGAATTCAAGCTGACTGATTCCATACTTCTCTGTAAAGTTTGCTCAAAAAGAGAAAACTTAATTTACAACCCGTTTAAGGACCTTTGTACCACAAATGAGGATCTCTTCAAGGATAGCGAGAATGACAAATTTTACTCCGAAAATTGGTCTGAGGCTATTGGAAGTCTTCAGACTGCCTCCTCTATCTTGGACAAATGCAGCTATTATAGATTGAAATCCTTACACCAGCACACCCCTGAAAACTCTGGCTTAAAAACTTTATTTTACAACATTGATGGTAATAAATCGAATTTCGACTTATTCCTCTCGGAACTTG